CCTATTGCTCAGAACCGGTGGTGGGGGTGGTGTTTATCTGCAATGGTTCAGCATGCCGCCATTGAAGTGATCTCATGTTTCCTATGGCAGAGAAAGCAATGCTGACTGATGATGATTCTTCACTTCTTCTCCTTAGTCTTCATGCTGACCAATTATAAAAAGTGAAACGTGAGCGCATTCCGGCGCCGGGGTCAAGGAAGAGATGGTGTAGCTTGCACAGCTGATGGATCACTGAAAGATGAGCGATGTGGTTGGGGAAAAATGAGAACACACTGAACTTCATGGCACCATTCACAGGTACGCGATGTTGTACCCGTAATCACCCTGTGTAGTTATATATTTATATTTTCCTTGTTTAAGTTTTGGAACAATGGAAAATGAAGACACATTGTTTTTGTTTTATCTCTTCGATCGGTGGTTCTTAACCTTTTTAGAGGTACCGAACCCAACCAGTTAATATGCACATTCACCGAAACCTTCATGAGTGAAAAATAAATGTATATTTTTTGCAAATTCAAGATATCAAAACCGCATTTATTAAAAACAGAAAAAAGTAAATACAATTTCAAGAGATAAGTATACATTTTTTTTTTTAATTGTACGACATACTATCACGACAGTCACACGTTGACTACTAAGATAACTACATTTCCCACAGCACTGATTGGCCAAGCAATGTCATGTGATCATCTGCAGCCAGTGATGGCCAAGCGGGCGTGTCATAACTAATTAACATGTTGAGTCGCGTGTGTCTTCCCCTCCATGGCAGAGGCTCCGTCGAACCCCTGAGACCGACTCACCGAACCCCTAAGGTTCGATCGAACCCAGGTTAAGATCCACTGTCTTAGATGATGAATAGTTGCTACATTTTTCTTGGTCCTCGGTTTCAGATTTGTGTCTCTTGTGTTTGTGTGAACCCATTTTGACCTGTTTTTGGACCTGACATTCTTTGGCGGAGAATCCGGGTGCTTGCTGTTTTGCTCCTTGCCCTCCAACCAACGTTCCCTCGAAGTTCCGCGCACTGCTCGCACCTTCTCAGCTCACACGGCGACACTGGCATGCACCAGGCACAAGCATTACTTTTTACACTCATTCATTCAATTCCACTCCACTTTGATCTACAAACAGAACACCACACCATTCCCACTTCCCTTACAGTGTCGTTAGTGCGCTCGAGGGTGCACACTCAGTTGTTCTACTATAGCAAGTGTAGGGAACTGTGGCTCCTCAAGAGCCATATTCTGCCTGTTTTAGATCCCTCCCTACTCCACCACACCTGATTCAATTGTTCATGATCGTTTTAGGGCTCTACAGAGCTTGCTGATGAGCTGATCGTTATGGTATGGAGAAGCATGAGTGCTAAAATGTAGTAAAGAGAAGCAAGAAAGCTTGCACAGGAGAAATGAAACGCCATCACGTTTATTTGTGTAGCACGTTGTGTAGCAGGTGCGTCACTTAAAACATAGAAAGAAACAAATGATTATTAAGACATTGCAAAAGTCATCATAAAATTAACCAAAATAATTCAATTAAAATGATTAAAACCGAGCATAAACTAAAATATAGCGTGCAAATAGGGATTAAAACAAAACAAACTATCAGATGTTCGAAAACTACAGTTGCTTGTTTACTTGGCTGCTCAGCTAGTGCCAAACGTGAGTGATGTCATGCATGCGTCGATAGCAAGGTTACAATTTCAATCTCCACGCCATCGACATCTGTGATCCCGCTGCTCTGATACTGGTTATTTGAGACTTGCATCTTACTCCTCTATCATCTATTCAAAGCTTCACACAACATGTGCAACACGAAGGAATAAAAATCTGCACCACTTGTATGATGAATGCGTATTTAAAAGGGAACTCTTGATTTTAATTTGAACATACAATTGTATTTCTTATTTGAGATTATTATTGTAATAATAGTCCATGATGTTTTATGTGCAGCATAGTAGTCTATATCTTGGGCTGTGTGAGAGCGACAGCTGACAAGTCGAGGCTGGGAGGGGGAGGAGGCGTGAGGAAGGGGGGCAGGCCGAGGGGGGATTCGATGTCCAGACAGTCCGCTGCTGGGATCCCGAGGGAAACTGAATTAGATGAGACGACGGCACTACTGTTGCAGCTGTTGGTCTCCATCTCTCCAACACATGCACAAACATGCAAGCTCCTCTTTGAGTCTGTTCATGATTATGTAAAAAAAAAAAAAAAAATAATAATAATAATAATCATGGCGAACCCTGCGCACAAATGGAATTGGTAGAGACACACGACAGTCCATGCGAGGCTGCTAGCAGTATGCCATAGCTTGTCGGGAGTCATTTTGACACATGGATATGTCTAAATCTGCAGATACATAGAAAGAAAAAGAGGATAGGTCATCTTTGTTCGATTAAATTGGAACAGTTACAACAATCCATGTTATGCTGCTGTCTGAGGACAGAAACATTTATTTGAACTGCCAAAGTATGTGTGGAAGAAATGGAAGCAAAAGATAAAGACAAAATGACATCTTTGCAGTATGACTTTGGAAAAGTGACAACAGTGTCAGGTGTTCTGCTTTCCATAACATCAAATTGGATTATCACAATGTGTTTGGAAACAAAATGGTGTTTGTCGAAAAAAATGCTGCCTGTTGCAAGATGTTTCAACTTCGGAAATGATTTCATTATTGATTTGGACTCGAAATGTCTGTTGACCAGATAGAAGCAGTATAAAGACAAAATAAAAACAAATCAAAGACACAGTGTCTGGTCTGCCACTGCCATTTGGAATTGGAACATCAAAAATGGTTTAACTGGGATTCACTTGCTCGCAAAATGTTGTGGTTGGAAGAAATGGAAGTGAGCGAAATAAATGAAGATCCATGCTTTTCCCATGTTAGGTTAAATAGTAATGAGAGTGCATGCTAGGCATCTTACCTCTGAGAAATGGAACTTCAGAGTACATTGAATACAATATGTTTGAACCCCAAATGTGTGTGTGCCAGCAAAAGATGCACAGCCATTTTTACAATTTTATGTTGGAATAGCCGTAGTAACGCGTGGTATGCTGCTTGCCTCTCAGAATTTGAACACGAGGAGGGACTTGCATGTTTCACTTGGAACCGACATATTTGTTGGAGAAATGGAAGTGATAGAAAATGATGAAAGTCTGTGTTCTTTGGTACTGGGTTCAAGTAGTCACAGCTATACATGGTATGCTGCTAACCTTTCGAATTAGAACATCAGTTTTGATTGCGCAGATTTATTTGGATGCAAAAAGAAGATACTGACAATTTTTGGCAGTGTGATGGATTGTGATAGTCACAAGAATACATGGCAGGCTGCTGGCTGATAAAATTGTGACTGTGTGTGGAAGACAACGAAGCGAAACAAAATGATGAAAGGTCATTTTGTCAGTTTGATACTGGAGGAGTCACAGCAGTGCGCGGTATTCTGGTTGCCATTCAGAACGAGAACAATAAGGACTGTCAGTATTTATTTGGACTCAAAATGGCGTGCGTGCGTATTTGTCAGTTTGATACTGGAGGAGTCACAGCAGTGCACGGTATTCTGGTTGCCATTCAGAACGAGAACAACAGGAAAGACTGTCAGTATTTATTTGGACTCAAAATCGCGGGTGTGCGTGCGTGCGTGCGTGCATGTGTGTGTGTGTTAAGTATGTTGGTCACATAAACTCTGCTTTATCTCCAACAGGAAAGACTGTCAGTATTTATTTGGACTCAAAATCGCGGGTGTGCGTGCGTGCGTGCGTGCGTGTGTGTGTGCGTGTGTTCAGTATGTTGGTCACATAAACTCTGCTTTATCGGCACTCCTGCAACAAGCAAAGCTTTGCTTTTATGTATTCATTTTGACAAGCATATATGATATCATCAGAGTAGAGCCGAGAGAAATTTGTGACAAAATCTTGACTTTTTTTTTTTTATTTTTGGTTTTTGCCCTGCCGGCATACATAAGTTGATGCGGTCAGAAGCGTATCGCACGGTCTCAGCATTTTACTTATTGAAGACGCTGTCTATACGCCGCTCCATATTTAGAAATCAATTTCAAGCGCAGCCAGTGAGCCAGCTCCATCAACTTTTTAGGCATGCAGCAGCACATTAACACACAAGGGCTGAAAGGGAAAGCGCAGCCAGTGAGCCAGCTCCATCAACTTTTTAGTCATGCAGCAGCAGTGGCACTGCTGCTGCATGTGCTGCTGCAGCACATTAACACACAAGGGCTGAAAGGGAGCGAGAGCTGCGCATTTGCTTTCTGAAGCAGAATCCAGACGAAGTGACGTACATGCATTTACTAAAGGTCGAAACCCCTCTGCCACTAAGGAGGTCCGTTATCATGCTATTAAATGGATCAAATAATACTTTCAGTATTATGGAGGGTAAGAACAATGTACAGTATAATTCATTGATTAAAATTAATTTTACAGTTGAATTACTTGTTTGCTTGTATCCAGATGAATTACTGAGCTTTAGTTTTTATTTTATCAATATTTATTTTGCTTACATTCAATTTTATTATTCCTATTCATTCATTTTCACAAATTCTTTCATTTTTTTTTCTGTTCTATCACACAGTATTTGTATTTAGTGAAGATGTTAGTAAATGTTTTCATTTTGTTTCATTTTATTTATTTTTTTAATTTCCAGAAAATAATCATACATCATCTGTATTATTGTACAGTATTTTATATATTTTTTTTCAATTTGTTCACAAGACGCCAGCTCTCAAATTGCAATTCGTTTCCCTCAGAGTGTACTGGGAAATTGGTCTACATTGGCATACCCTATTCTATTGTTTACTAATCAGCGGTAGAATATGGTTTGGTTTTGGACCAAAACGTGCAGAAAAAAGCTTTTTTTGTCAAGCACTTAATTATACCTGCAGTTGTTGTGAACGCGCAAATTAACAATGTATTGTATTGGATGCAAAAATACATTTGTCAATTGATTGATAATACAATGTTGCAATACATACCTAAAAAAAAACAAGTGATGCACAAAACTGCTGTTTCTTAAACTGAATTTATTGTATACAAAGAGTCAGTGACAAGTCTACAAAACACAATGACATACATTTATCACTTAATAAAAAAGACAAAACATCAAAACTGATGGTGAGAGTTCCCCACTTGTGAGCAAACAAATCAATTACGTGACATCCACTTAGAGTGAGTGAGGCCATTTTGTAACGTGTGTGTGTGTGTGTGTGTGTGTGTGTTTGTGTGTGTGTGTGTGTGTGTGTGTGTGTGTGTGTGTGTGTGTGTGTGTGTGTGTGTGTGTGTGTGTGTGTGTGACCTGGATCCTGAGACTGCACCATATGGATCAACTGGCCAAGAGAATGAGGCTTAATCCCTGATGGTTCCTCTTGATCTGTCAATTTGACAAAACTACTCAGTAGTAAATTACATTTATAAGATTGTCAGTGGTCCAAGTGTAATATGTAGAAGAGCAGTACAGTATAGGCCCAGTCTTATTCTTTATCTAATTTTCTAAGAGCAGATGGCAGTCAGCGATATGTTATGCCATGCTCACGCCCACTTTTCTGCCAGCAGCCCATGTGGGCTGACAGTTGACTCAGTGTGCGCACACAGCAGAGTCATTAAGAATATGTGACATGACAGCTGGCAAAAAGAAAACAGCGCTAGAACTGTAACTGAAGTGAACTAGTCATGCACTCGATTGCCTTCATGTCCTGCTGGGGCCGAGATGATGCAAGGATGGGACGGTCCAAAAATGGAGGAACCACTCGCCATCCAGGTTGTGTTCCCAGCCTAATGTCAAAAAGCCAGCATTCTGAACCGTTTTTAGGTTGACATGTTCCATGTGACAGATCGATTTTCCCCATTTTAATCAAATGGAATGACATGAATATTTTTTTTTTAACAAAGCATAGTGAAACAGAATTTACAGAAGTGGTTACATCAAATGTAATTACTGCACATACTGTAGTATTTGTGAGTTGGCTTTACAGGCAGTGAGTGACCTAGTGCGTAATGTCAGGAGTTAAAGCAGGTTAGTTCAACGAGAAACGTCTGGCTGTGGGTTGTGTTTCTTTCATGAGCTACTCTCGAGTTCACATTTCTGATTTGTTTTCGATTATTTCCCCGTACCAACACAAAAACAAAAATCAACGATGCAACAGATTGCAACTCAAAAGTTGGTACGTTGGGGCACACGTGAACTATTTATTTAAGCTATTGCGGCAGTTTTATCAGACATGGATGACAAGTCCACCAAGGCGACTCCATAAAAAACAAAAAAACAAAAAAAAATCCAAAAATGCGAACATGCGTGTGAATTGTTGTTTGTCTATACTCGATGTGCCCTGCGATTGGTGGGTAACCCATAATTAGCTCTTAGCCCAAAGTCAGTTGGGATCGGTTCCATATACCTGCGACCCTAATTAGCGCCACAGAAAATGTACTTTGTTCTTTTAACTTTTCGTGGTCGTGACACATCTGGCCTTCATCACTTCAGCAGTGTCTATTTCTGAACAGTTTCGGCTCTTTCTGATTTGCATGGTGAACCAATCACCGTTGGTTGTTGGTTTCAAAGACGGTAGTCTGTAGTTTTCATCCTTTGAATGAAAGACGGTTGCTTTACGGGGGACGGACATGTTGGTTAACTTGGACTTTTTAATAGCTTGATGATATATATTTGGGCTCTTAAGAGCCTGTCCACCAATCACTGATGACATTGAACCAAGTAACTATTTGGTTATCATCACTTTTGTGAAAATATGTGTGAGATTTTCTCCGCCCATGACATGCGCAAAGGTCCGCAGTCACTTTCAAACGAAGGTCGTCTGAAACACGATCATGCAGTGGCACTATCATGTAGGAATACCCACATCCTCAACCGGTGTGTTATCTATCACATCGAAGACAAATGGTAGGCAGCATGGGGTCATGTTGGATGCAAAGAATAAGGTTAACTTCTGATAGGTGCCACAAGGTCCTTGATTGCTCGCTGGGGTTTTGCGCTCGCAGTGTTGATGGAGCGGTTTTAGTGTTTGGTGGCATGTCCAAAAGTGACATGGACACAGTGTAGTGTATGAAGTGCTGCTTCCAAAGGTGAAAAAGCTTTTGTTCTCATTATAGCAGCTTACTTGCTTTTTTTCCCCCGCTAATACTCTAGTAACATAATTAAACAAGATATGCCATTGACCCAGTGGTGTATGGGGTGGGATATACTGGGGCTGACTTGCATGAGACAAAAAACAGGTTGACATGTTCGTAAAACACCTTGAAACTATTTTAAATTGTAAAAAAAAAAAAAATCTTGAGTTTCCCAACTATTTTGGAAACAGAAAGAATGTTTGAATGAGCATATAGAGATGTCACTGCAAACACAAACCCATGCAACCCAAGAGTGTAGTGTCTGGCAAAACTCTTGAAAGTACCATCTTCTGGGATAGTCGGATCCAGTCAGACATCCAGAAGTAAATGAAAACATGAAAAATGTACAAAAGACATGAAGTGTTTTCAGATTGTCAGACAAAAGCTGTTCACCAGACTAGTGGGTGTGACGTTCCTGTTTTGGATAACAGTCGTTCATTCAGTCTGCACCTGCTGTCGATCCAATGTGGAGCCCTTCTCTTCTCCAGTCGTCAGACCCACACAGCTGTGTTGTAGTCAAACAAGGGATGCATTTTCCGCAGTCTACCTTCTGGTGGTCTCCGGTCTAAGTAAATTCCCGCAAAGGGCTTCTCATGGAACTGTCGGAAGTAGTTTTGGCTACTTGGATGCGTTTCCGACTGCCCTTTACTCTGCTGTCCGCTGGCCCAGAAAGGCAGGTAGAAGCTGCCTTTTGAACTTTTTGGAACCGATTTTTTAGGCCTCTTGACCAGGTCGCCCTCTGAGATCTCTGGTGCCATCCAGCCGGGCCTCTCCTTCAGCAGCTTGTCCCGGTCGGGACGGACGCCTCGGAGGAACTTCTTGAAGATGTTTGTCGTGAGTGAGAACTTCCTGCAGATCTCCTGTGATCGGCTCAGGCGCAGCGGGTGAGCTGGGGTGTCCGGTCTGTCGCCACCCCCTTCTGCCACCGTTGTTTCGGTCTTCTCTTCTTCCTCCCCTACTCCTTCCGGTTCTATCTCTGGCAAGTCCAGCCAATTGCCAACGAGGTCGGCGAAGACATTGTCACCAAGCACTAAGGGTTGTCGATTGCGGCTTTGGTTCATGAGCGACGAAGTCCAGTCGTCGGCGTCGTCTGTGCTGTCCTGGGAGTAGTCATTGTCCATGGACGGACCTTCTCTGGACAGGCTGTAAAGGATGCCTGGCAGATCCACTGGCTGGTTGCATTTGGGAGGCTGCATGTAGGGCTCGGGTGGAGGGTTCCCCACCGTGGGTCCACAGAAATCCACCTGCGGTGCTGCGTAGCCCGACCACCTGCGTGGTACAACCTCGAGGTCTCCTTCCTCGCTTCTCTCCATTTCCAGACTGGACATGGACATTGTCCCTTCGCTGTATCTGCTTTGTGACAACTCCATAGACAGCTCCGGACTTGGGCTAGGGCCGTTGGACAAGTGCAACCTGGGATCCGCTTCTGAAGCACTCCTGAATGTTGTGTTGGAAATTGTCATATCCTGCAGATGTCTCCGTCCTCGAGCTGACAGGTTGAGGTTGTCTAGAGCGGTCTGGACCTGAAGTAATTTGAGTTCTTGGAGCGCACCCATCATGGAATTCATCTGAGCATGGAGGCCATCTCCTGCTTCCTTCATGGACATCTGGAGTGTGAAGAGAGTGATGACAATCAAAACAAGTTCACTTCCGCTTCACAGTGCCCAAAACTGGACCCAGCAGCCGTTCCTCTTTTTAATCCAATTACAACAGCATGAATTGACAGAATGAAATATGACAGCAGGTCTACAGGCTGTTTTAGCTGAACGTTCACGTTGACCCATATGGCTGGCATTCAAAAGTGAATCTAACCCATGACAGCTGCAGGACAGAGCAGCTTTCCCCTTCAATCTCATTCAGCCTTTACTGACCAAAACCACTACGGTCGTGTATGCTCTTCCCTGAGCTGTCATGTAAACTGAACCCACAAAGCCCTCACGCCATTTGTAAATATGCTAAAGTTTGCTGCACAGGCATCACGCTGTGCCACTTCATGGGCACTATGTCACGCTACTATACTTGTTGCACATTACAATACGCAAGAAACAGATATATTTAATTAAAAATGTAGTCATTTATTTATTTATTCACATTTCATTTATTTATTGGATTAACACCATTTAAAAAGTAACATTGCATCTTGTAATACAACTTTTTTAAACCTTAAAAGTGAAATAAAAATATTTATTCTAAAAGTAATATAACATTATTTTTAAAAATATGTACTGGTTTTAACATGACTTAAAAAGTAAGATTACAACAAAAAATATTGAAACCTTCCACAAACTTGCTCCTGTTGTTCACGTTACATTTTATTAAAAAAAATATACACAGTATATTTATTTTTTGAGAACATTCTTTATATCATATTTTTTAAACAATATTTTTAAAAGAATTATTGAAAATAACTTTACAATATTATTATTTGTAATGACAGTAGTACAGTTGTATTTTTGGCCATATTAGCAGCTGCAGGCCAATTGAAAGTACAACTCCACGACTTGCATGTCATGGTAAGCTATCGTACCTTTCCCACCCTTGGTACAGTCAGCGATAGTTATGACCGCTAGTTAAGGCCGCTCCACATAGTTTCATGTTATCCAAAAGAAAGCGCATGGACAATTTTCAGAGCGTCTAACTTATATAATTGGTATACTTGCTGAAAAATTTAATCAGGCCAAGGTTGTTTTTCATGCCTTTTTTTGTCTGCTGCTGCTGTAATCATACACTTGTCATCTTCCTCCTCCTCCTCTTTGCTTTTGCCTCTCATCTGTTCTAGAGGCTGAGTCATGTGACTCTACATCTTCTCTCGAAGGCAAACAGACAGACAAAATGCCCGGGTGTCCAAGTTCTGAATCACTTGCCCTCCTTGACCCACTTTGTGAATCACCGGCATCATGTTTAGTCTTCATCCAAGAACATTTGATGGATGTTTTACATACTATCCACAAGTATGCATGGATTTGAAGAACATAGCTTACCCACCTACTCACTTTTTTTTTCACTTTCAATGTACTGAAAAAAAAACCACCATTTGGATTTAATTGATTTGAACATGTACTGTACATCGGGTGAACATGATTAAAATGTGCAAAAGCAATTTTCCTGTGTTTTCCTCAAAAATAAATGCTATGTTTCAGCCACATTAGATAGTTGAGTTAGGCAATTTAGCATCGCCCAACTATCGAGTCTACGAGATATGATTGGGGCTCATTCAAGCGAAATTTCGATATGAATTCGTCCAAGTATGAACTCTGGATTTTAACCAAAATGTCTGCTTCACATAAAAATGTCCGACTTTGTGTTCAGATCCCGAAAAGGCGATTCATTCATCGGAAGAATACTCTGTAATTCCAATATTTCTAATAATAACAAAATAATAATGAAATACCATTCAAGTCATCCTCTTACCGTCTATGAAGTCATCCTGTCACAGTCATCTCACACATGCACCAACATGAGTGGCCCTCATGAGGATGCATGTATATATATGTAGCAGTCTCACAAAGGGGCAACCAATCAGAGCTGTCTAGACTTATCCCCAAACGGGTGAAAGGGGGGCGGTGGGGTTCACTCAGTCGGAAACGGAGTGACAATAAGAGGAGAGTCTGGCAGTAAGAGTGGGGTGGAATTGCGGGGGTCTTCGGCCATATGTTTATTAGTTGATGAGAGTCTATGGCTTCAATTATAAATGTTTACATATGGAAGATTGAAGGGTCTTGTGTAACAACAGCAGATTGTGATATGTGACTGTGATGCCCCCCCACCCCCCCACACACACAGACACCCTACCTTTCACACCCCCTCAAAACCTGTAAGCCCCGTGAGAGGAGGGCATGTTGTGTAATGATTGTTATGTGGGAAGAAACACACTTGTGATGCTCAGGAGAGGTCAAAATTGTTGCCATGGGAAACATTTAATCGCAAAAAAAAAAAGAAAATCTAAATAATAGAATGTAATGAAAACATTTTAAAATGTCATTTCAAAATCTTGATTGTTGCAAGATTTAAAATTATAAAGAAAATGAAATGACTATTTTCAGCAGAGG